TATACACCACCCATTAAGTCGGAATTTGTTTTCGTCCAAAATAACAATAATTCGAATTTGGCAATGCAACAACAGATTCCAGAACATATACGACAATCGATTCCTCGAGTTAACCAAAACATGGTTCAACGTCCTCATCAAATAAACTCACAATCTCAGCAGACTTCTCTAATGCCAAATTCACTTCTGTCTCATAGCATGTCGCAAAATGTGATGACACAAGAAATGTCTCAAAATATCAATCGTCAGCGACAACCACAACATGTAATGCCTAATTTTTCTCAAATATGGCAAGAGCAAGAAACGATTGCACAAAACATGCCACAGCAACAAGAATTATTACAACCACAAAATGCATCAAGCCAACTAACTTCGCAACAGATTCAAATACCTCAACAAATGCGATATTCTCAACAAATATCGAACGTACCGCCACCACAAACTCCGAATATATTGCATGCTCAAATTCCACGACAAATAAACAATGGTTTAGCGATGCAATCCTTGAATCAACAGCAACAAATGGAAAAGCAGTTGCGTCCTGCACAACAACAAATGCCATATCAAACATGGCAGCCTGTATTGATGTATTCGCAAGATGTGAATAGAAAAGCGAGTCAACAAATGTTGATGTCTTGTAACATGCCTAGACAATTTATACCACAGCCAATGCCTCAACAGAACCCTCAAAGGATGATGCAACGACCTTGGCAAACAATTCCTAGTCAAACGAATAATCAATTTTTATCATATGAACCAACCCAGCAATTTGCCTGGCAACAACAACCGAATGTTGCAATGTACAATCCATGGAATAATCAACAACAGATGTCAGGTCAAATTGATAATCAAATGGGATCACAAATACAAATAAATTCACAGATAGGATGGTATTGATATAAAATAAGAATGTTGTTGCATAAATTATGTATCTAAATAGAGTTCATATACGAAAATAAGGTTCGCTTGCTTTATAATTCCTAACATTTAATATATATATATTGTATATTATTTCAAATGCTTAACTCAAATAACGCAGAAAATTAATTCAAATAACGAATTATCATAGAGTTTATTCCATTTATATTCGTATCTTAAACTCTGATAATAAATAATGATTTAATTCCTTCTAAAAAAAAAAAAAAAATTAGAAATCAAATAAAAAAATAAATAAATAAAACCAAATATACGAAAACTTCAAGAAATCGTTAGGCATAATGATGATACAGATATCCCTATAATATTTGTAACATTTTACATTTTCAGTAAGTATTTTACAGTTTTCAAAAAAAAAAGACATCCGGTAAAGTCATACCGGTTGCCATGTACGTTAATTTTTAATTAACGGAATTTTGAAAGTGGCATCTAAAAAATATACTGTATTTCCCAATATGCTAGTGACGGAAATTTGCAAGAAATATTGCTCGAACTTCTGTTTTACTTATTATTTATTCAACGAGGACTTGTAAATATATTAAATACATAATTTTAGACACTTGTAATATCCAAAAATCGCAGATTTTGGACCGCAAAACAGATGTCAATTACTTCAAGCTCAAATTTTCATTGAATTTCGGCTTACGTTGTCATATATAAGCATAATATGAAGTTCGATACTATAGTTCAGTGTAATTCTCTGGGAGGTTCGGTGGAAGACCAACTCAAACTCCATTATCAATCAATAATGTCAAGCTCAACTAAAGTTGTTGGCGAAATTAAATTATAGTGGTGAGAATAATTTCACCATCGTTGATTTTAATTCTGAATTTTGAAATTTGTGAAATTAATTAGCATCTCTACTTAGAACCAATTAACTTTATTAAATCTGTAATAACAGATACAACATTGACCGATGGCCTAGGTCATAACCATTTTTTGATATGACCTTGGTGACTTGGTCATATGATTTTTTAGTCATTGTCATAGTCATAAATTATGGTGGATTCTAGGTAGCACACTAGGGTGTTCAAATACTAGTAAAATAAACATTAATCAAACATTAATCAGAGTCGCATATGATAAATTTTTTATGAAAATCCGAATTTGCTGCGGATAATATCAACCTTCGATACACTTTTCTCTTGAACTAGTATAATAATTAATGTCTAATTTTTTTTAAAAGATAGAGTAAATTGTATACTTTAATATAATAGAGCCATTTTTTCGATTAACGCTATTTATACAGTATTTATACTATAAAATGGCGTGAATCGAAAAAATGGCTTTATTACATGAAAGTATACAATTTGCTCTATCTTTTTTTTTTTAAAAAAAAATAGACATTAATTATTATACTAGTTCAAGAGAAAAGTGTACCAAAAGTTGATATTATCCGCAGTAAATTCGGATTTTTATAAAAAATTTATCATATGCGATCGTTTGATTTTACTAGTATTTTGAACACCCTAGTAGCACACCCACAAAAATTATTCTTCCTTTATAGTTTTGACCTGTTTATCTTTACATTTTTCCAAATAGATTAAACCATTCGTTTGGCTTTTTAGCTGGCTGACAGTTTTATCAACCGGCTATTCATAATTGTCGATACCAAATTTGACAAAATATTGTATATATCAAGAAGGTATTTAACTTTATCAATTACTTTTATTTTCTAAAATTGACAAATTTAGCATTTTGTTAACCTTGAACTTAACAAAATTAAATTAAGATATTCTATTTAAATAAGTTGTGAAAATTATATCAATGCAGCTTTTAGTCACTAATTATTAGCCAAAATACGGATAAATCAATAAATTTAACGCTTAGCCGAGCCATAAAAATTTAATCACTAACGCTACTACGTTAATGCAAATAAATGGGTTTTTTTTGACACAAAGCCAAAGAAATAATGCCCAAGGTAGATTCAAATTTTTTACTTTTAAGCGTGATCGTCATGATCGTCGAATTTCTATTTGATTGGTGGAGCGTCACGTGAGTTAGTTATGCTTTAAACGACTTACCAATAAGGATAAGATCTGTCTAAAAAAATTTCGCTACCAGCGTTAGGTTTTGTTTTGATTTTATGCTACATCCTGATCTTGAATTAATTTGACCAGATAGCGAAATTTTTAGAGTGGTGACTAGGATGGTTAGCCAAGGACATATAAAAGCAAATAAATCTAGCCAGTTTATAAGATCATGTAAACTTCTCAATTCGCCATAACTAGTAAAAATATGATTAAGTTTGTCCTCACTAATTATTCACTATATGTATTCTTCCCCGAAACTGATATAATATAAAAGAAACCTCGGACAAACTTAGAGAATATCTGCTATACACTGATTTAACATGGAACATATTACTGTAATATGTTCGTTTAATAATGACATTCAATAACACTAGATTGCTAATATACAGTATAGTAGATTATGTTAACAGAGTATTAGTGATTCCAGTATTCGGATTTAAGCTTTGATTCAATGGCAAAAAAATATCCCAACGGCCTTTATGGTCAATCGATTATTGTTCAATCTCAGTTGTCGTTACGTTCTTTGGATAATGTAATACGTATAGCATTACAGCTCATAATAATCATATCGATTAAGTGTAATGTCAGGAAATTTTACGTAATTAAGGGATATACAAGTTGCAGCACATATAAAGTTTATGGCGATCTATATGTTTTGTGAAAAAAGATAGTTTTCATGCTAACATTTATATCTTACAATTTAATTGGTATTCTTTTTATACCAAAAAAAATTTGTTATTTCATATTTTTATATTATCTATGTTTTTTCCTTTTACGCCAAAAATTTTGAAGTATCTTATTTTGAAATGGCGTGTTGAGACTATCGATGAAATCAAACTCGAAATTTGGTTGGCATCCACGTTATTATCTACGTAAAATCAATGTTAAGACTCTTTTTGCATTATAAGCCAAATATTATAGTTATACATTTAACATTTAATTATTCTCATCTACCTATTTTATTGAATATAGATTGACTTTTCATGATATATCTAAACTGAATTTGTTTTCAAGACATTTTGGACTCAATCATTGCTTAGAGGTTTTTTTTTACGTATTTGGATATACTCTTGATAATGGCTAAATGAATTTAAATTTCATTTAGAAAATGTAAAGATGCTAATTTTCACTTTGTCTTATTTTTAACTAGATATTATCTTGAGGATTGATTATTGATCAAAGTTTCGAGATAAAATATAATTTTGATTTTGATTATACTAGGAAACAGGAACTGTTGAAATTCGGAGCCTTATATTTGTATTTTAATTTTATATAGTATTTCTTAAAAAAATATATTTGTACAGTACGGAACAGCAAAAAACATTCAATTTTATATATAAAATACGAAAATGCTTATAACTTACAAACAAATAATTTTTTTTTAAAAAAACTGTCTTACGTACTTAGCAGAAACTCGAATTTTTGCCATTTTATGATTATCATATGATAATTATATAACTATTATATGATAAAAATATGTTAAAAATATTTTAAAAATAAAGTATAATAAATATATGATAAAAATATATAAAATGTATTATTATAATACTTTAAACATATTTTTGTAATTCTGTTAAGTCACTATTAACGCGATTAATACCATATATTTATAATATAATTATAATATAAGTATAATCTAATATTATCTAGTAATTATCTAATAGCAATCTAATAACAATCTAATAATATAATATTTTAATAATATTTTAATAATATAGTAGCAATCTGTTTAATATAATTAAATAATGATACTAATATCTTAATACTTAACAATATGATAAAAATATTGTTAATAGTAACTTAACAGATTAAAAATATTTTTATTATATTTTTATCATATAATAGTTATATAACTATCATATGATATCAAAAATGGCAAAAATTCAAGTTTCTGTTAAGTATTTGTTGCTTTTAGTCTAAGCTACAATTCTGTTAAATTAGATTTTATTTTTATTCTAAATTTGAAAAGTTATTAGAGCTTAAATTTTATATGTAATCAAAATTTTGACCTTTAATAAATAAAAAAAATTATTTAAATAGATTTTAACCAATCAGAATTTTTGTTACACGAAAATTAGCCAATCAGATTTGAGTTAAATCTCAAAATTTGGCGCTTTTAAAAAAAAATTGGATGTTTTTTGCTGTCCCGTACTATATATCATTTAAGATAACAATAGTACCATCAACAACAGTAATAAAGCTAATTTTAATATTTATTATGTTAATATAAATTTATATACTTAAATTTAATAATTTTTATTATATAATCTAGCCAGCAATAAACTATAAGTCAGGGGCCAATCCTAACCTAAATCGGCTAACTTTGTCTGCAAAACAGTTGTTTGCGAAATTGGTATATATATTTTTTCTCTTTAGATACGTACCCATGCATAGAGATACATAAAAATTGCTGAATTATTGTAGCATGGAAATAATAAAATAGAATGTCCCCAAATCAATTACTTCCTTTTACTTGACTTAATAATCTAAATATAAATATAAAATAAGCAATAAATTTTTGGTTAGTTATAAGCAAATCAGATATTACTTACCGT